GGTCATTCAAGTAGAAAACTATTTCCCCTCAATCTTCTGGTAAGATGCTTTCTTTTGCTGAATAAAAGAGACTGGTTTAAACATACTTTTTTTTTTTAAACATCCTATTTTTCTTTCTGACTTCACCCTCGATGTGTGTGTTTCCTTCCGATAATCTGAATAGAGACATTCATGGGTCAGACTTTCAGGCTATGCCTTGCTTCTGACATAAACTTGCTTTTGTTTGTAAGGATTACTTGTAATTTTAGAGAGCTTGCTCTCTAAAAAACTACCTTAACAGCACTAGCATAAGAAAAGGACACTGAACTGGGCCTTTGGGGTTTTTTGCTTGCTTTTACACTTGACTGCAATGCCATTTTTACTTACAGGTAAATCTACTTTCTCTGCTGAATCTATTGCAGAGAACAATGAATTTAGCAGCACTCTGAACATAATCAGCTTTGACTACAAAATGGCACTTGTAAACATTAGCTCTTTTTTTTTTTTTAAAGGCTTTTCCCCCTTTGAAACAATGCATTTCCCAGAAGTTTTCTCCTCCCCCCCGAGTTACGGTGTACTCGCTAGCCATCAGTGTGAAAACAGGAAAGGTCTCATTTTAACACCAGCATGTCATCTTTTTCCTAGGCTGGGCATCCGTGCTGCCAGTAACCAGGCATCGGACTCGTCCTCCGTACAGAGCGGCTGCAGGTTGCACGGAAGCGTTGCTCATGTTGGGACTGAAATTCTGTGGCAAAAAAAAGGCACTTTACTGTAGAATCAGTTAATGCTCTTTCTGCTCTCGTTAATTACTGTAAGGATCTAACAAAGTTCAAACCGCACTCGGTACGGACGCTGTTTCAGAGGGCCTTCTGTGTCCTGCTGCCGTCTGCTGAAGAACATTTCTGTATTTGCAAACCCTGTCATAAGCAAGATCCACAAAAGCATTCCCCTGCCTGTGTGAAAGCAACAATTTGTTAAACCAAAGTCTGTCTTAATAGCAACTGTATTCCCATCTGCAGGGGCAACAGATGCTGCTGTTTTCTTACAGGAACGCTTATTTGCAGTGTTCCTCTACGAATGCTTAACCTAATAAAAGCTGAACGTGGGACAATAATTGCTTTAGGTTTTGTGTCTCCTTTTGTGTCCATCTGGAGTTTTAGGTGGGTTTGTTTTTTTTTTTTTATTACCGCTCAGCAACACACGCAGTTTGTCTTTCAAAGGAGCAGCAGCCCTGCACAGGGCTGTTCATCCCGGGCCGGCAGGCAGGCACCTTTATTTTTAATTAGCCTTTGCGCAGGAGCTGCACAACTAAACACGCTTTGAAGCTTTTCCTCTCTGCCGGAGACGTGGGCGGCTTCTCTGGGGACCCTGCCCAGGAAAGCGCCCGGGCCGGGGCCTCTCCCCAGGCCGGGGCCTCGCCCCACACCCGGTTTCCTCCGGCCGGGGACGGGCAAGCCCCGGCGCGGGGCGGCGGTTGCGGGGAGAGGCAGCGGCCCCACCGCCGCCCAGTAAC